CTTGTTTCTTAGGTCCCTTTGATTGGACAATGTTTTCCCAGTCCTTTACTCTGAGACATGTGTGTCTTTGATTTGAGGTGCGTTTCTTGTATGCAACAGAAGGATGAATTCTGTATTCATAATCATTCTGTTAGCCTGTGTCTCTTTAAAGGAAAATATTAAGAGATTTTAATGCCCATTGATTGTTGACTCCTGTTACTTTTGGTTTTGTTGATGTTGGTGGTATTTTGTATGTTTCTCTTTTTCTTTTTGGTTTTGGTAATGTGGGGATATCTATTGCCTATGATTTTGCAAGTGTATCTGACTTCTTAGGTAGGAGTTTTCCTTCTAGTACTTTCTGTAGGCTACATATTATTTAAATATGGTTTTGTCATGGTATATCTTGGTTTCCCTATCTATGGTGATTCAAAGTTTTTCTCTGTGTATAGTCTGGGCTGGTATCTGTGGTTTGTTAGTGTGTATAGGAAAACTTTCCAGATCATTCTGGATTTCAGAGTTTCCATTGAGAAGACATGTATAATTCTGATAGGTCTGTCTTTATATGTTACTTTACCTTTTTTATTTGTTGCTATTAATATTTTTTTATTCTGTATTTTTGGTGTTTTGATTACTATGCAAGACAAGGGAACTTTTTCTTTAATTCCAGTCTATTTGGTATTCTGTAAGCTTCTTGTACTTTTATTGGCTTGTCCTTCTTTAGGTTGGGAAAGTTTTCTGCTATGATTTTGTTGACCATGTTTTCTGTTCATTTTTGCTGGACTTCTTCACCTTCTATAGAAGTTATTCTTAGGATTGGTCTTTTCATGGTGTCCCATATTTCCTGAATATTTGGTATTAAGTATTTGTTGGGCTTATGGATTTTCTTTGGTTGATGAATCTTTTCCATCTAGCATATCTTCAACACTTGATATTCTCTCTTCTGTCTCTTGTATTCTGCTGGTTATGATTCCATCTGTAGTTCTGATCATTTACCAAGATTTTCCTTTTTCCACATTCCCACAGTTTGTGCTTTCTTTATTACTTCTATTTAAGTTTTCAAGTCTTGAACTGTTTGAATTGTTTCCTTCATCTCTTGGATTGTTTTTTTCTTGGTTTTCCTTGCTTTCTTTAAGAGACTTTTTGATTTCTTGCATTTTGGGTTATCTTTTCCTCCATTTCTTCAATTTTTGTTAGTATTTTCTTCCTTTTTTCAGAAAAAAAGGAGTTTCTGATTTCATCTTTAATGGCCTCCATCATCTTCATAAAATTATTTTAAGATTTTTTTTTCCTGTTTTGTCTTAATTGGGATGTGCGGGTCTTGCTGGTCTAGAATCCCTAGTCTCTGGCGGTATCATATTGCTCTCTATGCTTTTGAATGTGTTCCTATACTGTCATCTACCCGTCTCTTCCTCCAGTGGGTACAGGTTGGGCCTGTGATTCAGGGGGTACCTTTTCCTCCTTTTGTAGTAGGTAGGGCCTATGGCTTAGTTTGGTTGATCTTCCTCTCCCAGTGGGAGGTAGGGACAGGGTTCCAATAGTGGGAGATGCAGTGCTGAATGGATTGTGGTATGAGGAGGGTACCCCTAAGTCTCTGGGGTTTCTCTCCCACTGGGCAAGTGAAGGTCACATACCTCTTCTGGTGGGAGTGGGGCCAAGGCTTCAATGGTGGTCCTGGATGGTTTGTGGTTGTTCCTAGGTCTCTGGGGATTTGGTGGGCAGTACAGTGTAATGTGTCCCAGTCAAGGGCCTCCATCAGAGATGGGGAGAAGGGCCAGTACTCACCTCTTTCAGTGTGTGCAGGACCAAGGCTTTGATGGCAAAATGTGGGGCCCTGGATGGTTTGGGGCTGTTCCCAGATCTCTGGGGATTGAGTCCTGAGTGATGTCTTAATTGATACAGGAGGGCCCAGAACATTGTGGGCAGCACCATTTCTAGGGTGATTGTGTAAGAAACTAGCTAAACATGAGCTTTAGCGCGAGCCTGTAAATGAGTGAGGAAGCAGAAAATTTTCTGCCTTCACTTCCTTCACTGTAACAATATAACACAGCCCCAGAAGGGAAACTGACTCTACTCTCTCCGAAACTGCTCTTCCAGGGTGTTATTGTCACATCAAGAGAAAGAAATGTAGAACAATGTACAGGGAAGACATCCCTGTTTGATTAAATAGGATTTTTACTCAAGAGCAAATCCCTTCAGCATCTCTGGGCAAAAAGAGTTAGTATTTAGATAGCAGAGATTGGCCAGAAAGTGGAGTGCATGTGCAGTTCACCATACATTAGTGTTCGTTCGTTCATTCATTCATTCACCCAACCATAAAGGATTTCTCTGTGTAATCCCATCTGTTCTGGAACATGGTCCATAGACCAGCCTGGCCTGGATCTAAGAGATCCACCTGCTTTTCCCTCCTTAGCGCTTGTATTAAAGGCATTCATCATCCTTCCCAACTGTGTCCTGTCCTATAATCTTAAAAAAATATCCTAGGAATTTTCCTCTGAAATTTCCTTAGCACAAGGCTCCTCCTGAGAATGCCCTTCCCCTGGATTCACCTTAGTTCCAATTTTAGTTCAGTGCTACCTGGGATAAATCTGTAGCACTGTCTAGACCCTTCTCACAGTTGAAGGAATTAAGGGTCCTAAAGATCACAGTGATTAGGATGACAGGCTCTGCATCACTCATGTGTTGAACTTATTGGAGAAGTCCACTTTGTCTTGTTGGTCATCTTGCTGTGGCCCTAGACATGAGATTGCAGTTCTCCAAGTGATCTCCAGGGGGCAATAGCAGGGTATATGCTCAATGCTCTAGAAGTGGTTTCCCTGAGCACACTGCTTTCCATTTCTGTTCCTACTAACTCGGAGCTTACTCTCTGGATCCTGCTCTGACCTACTGGCTCCTTACTTTGTCTGACAATATCTTTTTGTATGGGGACCATGAATGTCTCCTCCCTCCTGGCACCTCTCATATGAGAAGACATGATATTCCACCAGGGAATTATTTTGAAAGTGCAATGATGACTCAAGAAGATCAGAGATGACAATGTGCACACCCAACACATTAATGCTAGAATGTTGCCTTGAAACATCCCACAGTAAGATGAAGCCCACAGTCCTTTCAAGGACGCATTGCTCACATCTTTCCCAACACTGATCACATGAAACTCCTCACACAACTGCTCCTGGGCATCTCCTGGGATCATCAGTCAGACTGATGACATTAATGATAAAAGATTGATCTTCATTACTAGTCAACACTGAGCTGGTCTCTTTCCAGCCCTCATAGAAATTTCTGTCACCTTCTTGCAGGGATTAAGCAAATACCCCCTTCTCAGAGCCCTGAGATCACATAGGAGACTGGGTGCTCAGCTGGGTCTCTCTGCCACAAGGATGTAGGTATGATGGAGGCTACCTCTTTGGTGATGATAGACCCGGGGCAAGGACACAGAGGGAGTCATACCTTGGATGGTCATTGTTCCCTGAGGGAATGGAGATGCTTATCAGCCTTGTTGCTCAATGTGTTGTTTGGAGGAGACACATAAAGGGAAGTTGAGAGGTCTGACGGGCAGCACTGAGAGTGGACAGGATCGAGCATGCCTTAGACTCAGACCCCACCACTCACAGACCTTTGAATTCTGGGAAGTGGCTCCTGTCCGAGCAGGAGGAAGAACAGTGGAGCCTGAGTTCTGTGTCAGAGCTGAGACTCTTCTCAGAGGGAGGACATCAGGTGAGAAGATTAATGGAGAAACCCTCTGTGCTTCTCTGCAAGGGATGCGCCCCCTGGCAAGGGCTTCTTCTCACAGGTAAGAGCACCCACTATCTGACTGTGTGGGTAGAGGGACTTAGAAGCAGGCTGGAGTCTCCTAAGGAGGACAGAATCTTGAATGGAGACTCAAGGTTTCTGTTTCCTGTTTTGGTTCTGAAGGTACAGTGAGTGACAGAGGCTCCGCAGCCTGAATCTGTCAGAGGCAGGAGGCGATGATGGTAAGAGAAGAGCCTCACACCATCCATATTCTCAGTGCGATTCCCAACTTTGGCAGGGTGACCCTTCAAATAGAAGTCAGACTGGGGAGGGCTAGCCACATACCTGGGTTTGTAAAAACGTGACAACCTGAAACCAATTCTCAGCTTCCACACAGCAGATGAAGAGAAGAGACTCCTGTAGGCTCTACTCTGCCCTCCACATAAGTGCTGTGGCACACACCCACACACGCACACCATGATATCTGTGGCACACACCCACACATGTACACCATGACATACATCTTCATATGTGCATAGGAAGACACCAGCCTTCACAAATTCACACACATATTTGCATATGTAAATCCATAATCATTCATTTCACACTTGAATATAACCTAGGAACTATGAAGAGAAATCCATGGAGATACATTTCTCTTTCCTTCCTGTCTTTTTTCCTCTATTTATTTCTGTTTTTTCCCCAGGGACTGAATCTTACAAAAAGGTAAGACCTATTCCAGGTTTTGAAGCAGTGGTGGTGGCACAGGCCTTTAATCCAACACTTGTGAGATAGAGGGAGGTGATATCTGTGAGTTCAAGGCCAGCCTGGTCTACAGATCAATTTTCAGGACAGACAAAGCTACACAGAGAAACCATGTCTCATAAAACCAAACCTAAAACTAAAACCACAAACAAAACCTAAAAATCAACCAACCAACCAAAAAAAAAAAAAAAAAAAAAAAAACCCTGTCTAGTGGCCTTGATGTCAGTGTATCCGAAAGATGAAGCCGTGAGTTGACTGGAATCATAAAAGGAACAGAGAAAAGCATCAGAATTAAGGGCTCTACAGAGGAGGAGTTCAGAGAGGCATTGATCCTGATATCAAATACTATATGTGAGGGGGGGGATATGGGACACTGGGGGGGAGCGAGGCAGACCACTGAGAAGAGAATTCCTAAGAGAGTCAATGGAAGTTATGTTGCTCAGGTCTGCAAAGGGGGGTGGGCACACCCACACTCACACACCCGTTTAACACTGGTGGTTTCTCTCACTTGCTTCCAGCCTCCTTTCTAACCTCCTGGCACCTGCTCACAACTGCCCAAGTGATCACTGAAGCAGTGCCACCCTTAGTGGCTGAAGGAGATGACGTCCTTTTCCTAGTGCATGATCTGCCAAAGAAAATTAAAGCCTTAACCTGGTTCAAAGGTCTAACAAATACGACACAAGACATTGCAACATATGATCTGCACAACAATTTCAGTCAGCCAGGGTCCATGCACAGTGGTAGAGAGACAATATATCACAATGGATCCCTGCTGCTGGAAAAGGCTAACCTGAAGGACACAGGATTCTATACCCTACGAACCTACAATAGACTTGGAAAAATCTTAACAACAGCATTCCTGTACCTCCGTGTGCACAGTAAGTGATTTGTTGTGGACTCTGTGAGCCAGGTGAGGTTCATTACGCTGGACACATACAGGACAGTGGTCTATGCCTACCTTCCCTATGCATTGTGTCCTATGTTGGGGTTTGAGCATTTAGTGCAAGAAACATATGGTGTAGAATAATGGCAATAGATCAGAATCCTTCATTTGACTTCACCTTGCACACAGGTTCATGTGTGGTGGGTAACTCAGACAAGGATCAGCCTTTGGCTATACTCTATATCATTTTAGCAGGAATGTTTCCTTGAGAAAGACCCTGAGGGAATCAACATTGTACCTGGTTGAGGAAACCATGGGGTCCTCAAAGAGATATGAGTATCAGGAGACCTCTGTCCTAGACTCAAGTCTAGGTGTCCATGAGAAGCATTTTATAGGTGTCGGATTTTTGACTTCCTGATGTCAGGGGAAAGTGCTCCCTAGTGGTCAAAGTTTTGTGATGTGTGGAACCAGGCAGGGCACTGTCATGAGAGCCTTGGTTGGGCTACATCCCTTTGCCATCTTCAGAGAGTCAACAGAGGAACATAGCTCGACAGGCATCCTGGCCATTAACTGAGTGCTTGTTCTCTGTGCACCGCTCAGGGAATTTTCTTCTGCTGGAAAATGACTACAGGCTCTGTTGATCTGACAGATTTCCTGGCATTAGCTGTAGTTTCCTGGTGATCACCAGGGGCATTATCAGGACACACAGTGAACTGGCAGAAAAATATTTGCCTGAACCAGGAACTTATCCAATAGCCTGGTTCCACCCCTGTTTTTACAGACCTGAAAATCAGGGTTACATCATTCTCAGCTTTCTCTGCTTAATGTGTCTACTGCACCGCCATGGGATCATGTTTTATTTCCTACTTTATGCTTTTCCTTTAGTAAATACAGTATCCAAGAAGAACCAACTAGATAGAGGTCCAAGGCATGTCAGGATGATCATGGAGCATAAGTGCAGACCCATTACACAGCTCAATAGACAGAAGAATTGCTAGCATGGTCTTCAGAATCTTACACAGGATGAAGAAGGAGCTCATAGACTTTCTAGAAATCAGGTCACCTCTTCCCACACACCCACGACACATCCTAGACTTTTCACCTTGGTCAGAACGCAGTCTGATGGTGACTCCGGTGAGAATAGACATCTTTTTGCCTCCCACATCACTTGTCATCTTTCTTCTGGGAGCAAATTGCATGTTTCCAGAGCACTGGGAACACAGGGCAGTCTATGTGTCCAGCTGGGTTTCTTTGTCACACAGCTGTGTAGATCTTCCCTTTTTGATGTTGATAATCCTAGGTCAGGACACAACAGAGTGCAGTTCCAGGGTTGGCTGCTAGTATATCATGTCACAGGGGTGGCCATTACCTTTGACTCTCACTCTGTGTTCTAGAGGACAGAATCATTTGGAGAAAATGGGAAAGGAACATGGGCAGCACTGAACCTGGAGGGCAGAGCAGTGCTCTGAACACAGACCCACACTTGGCCCATTGGACTTTGGGAGGTGTTCAGCTCAGATGGGGGAAGGACAGCAGAGCTTGTGAGCTGTGCTGGAGCAGAAGTACCCGGAGGGATGTCAGGTCAGCCTACTGAAGCAATGGAGGTCCCCCCCCCCAGTGACCCTCTACAAAGGGTGCACCACATCTCAGGGGCTTCTGCTCACAGACGAGAAGACCAGGAGTAAAGACTGTGAGAGGAGAGGTCAGACATACTGTCTGCAGTTTCTCGATAGGCACAAGGACATGAGGGGAATCTCAGTGTTTGTAGGGGAGAAGACACAGAGTGCGAGAGAGACTTAGCATGAGTATGCTCTCAATGATGCTCTCAGATCGCTGGCCCAAATAAAAGATGAAGCTGGTGGGTATCACTGACATGGTCCAATGGATGTAGACATTTGCTTCATTGTCTGGCAAGCTGAGACCAATGAACAGCAGTCCACTGGCTTCCACTTAACCACTTAACTATCCTGGACTTGGCCCTTACTACTAACTAGCTTTGCCCCTTACACTACTAACACAGAAGTATAATATGTAAATTAGTATAAAAATCAAAACAAATGGAGTGATCCAATACTGTATCCCTAAACATATGAGTTTCTAAAATTAAGTGCATGGGCATGTAGGGCCCTGGGACATCGTTAATTCATCCAGTCTCCACATGTATTTGAGTTTTTTTTCTAGGTATCACTTTTTTTAAAAATTATAAGACAACTCATGGTTCTTATCATGCCCAAGTTTGAACGGACTTGAAATATGAAAGCTAGAAGATAAATTCGGGTGTTGGCTGCAACCACAAGAGGAACACAACAGCAACAAAGTCAGAGAGCGAAGACAAATAAATGATCTGTAGGGGAAGAGGTTGGGCAGGCATCACCCTAGCACCAATCCTTTGTAAGCGTAAACAGGTATCTGATGGCTGTGAGCTGTGGCAATGTTGACAGCTGAAGAGACAGAGCCACATAGAGAAAATGACACGTTGATCCAGTGCGAACATAAAGGTCATGTGCTGGAGTCCAATATTTAAGTCAGGGAGATACTCACCCGTAAACCTAGGCAGAGCAATGGACACAGCAGCTCAGGACATAGGGCCTCACCTTAGTCAAATATGAAAGCTCCAACTTAGACTGACACCTATCTTCACTTCTAGGTTTCTTTTGGAAGTGTGGGTGCGTTGCTACCTGTGCCCAGCTCACTATTGAATCAGTGCCACCCAGCGTTGCTGAAGGGAGGAGCGTTCTTTTACTCATTCGCAACCCCCCAGAGAACATTGTACAATTTGTCTGGTTCAAAGGAATGGTTGACTTCAGGAACCTTTTGGCTATTCGGAATATAACGGGCAGGGAACCAACTGTGTGGGGTCCTGCGTACAGTGGCAGGGAGATGCTGTACAGTGATGGATCCCTGCTGATTCACAGTGTCACTCAGAGAGACCCCGGACTGTACACCCTACGGATTCTGAGGGCAGATATGAGAAGCGAAGAAGCACAAGTTCAGCTCCAGGTGGACAGTAAGTGGCGCTCTGTGGTTTGTCAGTTCTTGGTGGGGATTACACACACAGGTCTGTCATGGCTAGCCTAGTGTGCCTTCCCTTGGCACTGTGTCCCCAGGTGGACGCATGGGCCCTTAGTGCAGGACACACTGGTAGAGACAGATGACTATAGCTCAGCTTCCATTTTCTGACTCCACTTGCATCAAGGAAGACCTGATGTAAAGTAAGACCCGTACAGCCCAAGACTTAAGGGGTACTCTACAGACAAGCAAGTGCATCTATCAGGTGAAGTCAGGGGCTGAGTGTTGCCTCAAAGGAAATGGAAGGAAAAGACCTAGAACGTGGGAGTTCCAGGCCTGCTGTGTTCAGGAGAGGCATCTTCTCAAACCCCATTTACCATGAGTGTGTGCAGTATCTAACCAAGGGCAGTGAGGGAGCAGCCATGCAGACATCCAAGGGGACAGGCTCCTGCAGAGGACCTGACACTTCCAGGGACACTGTTGGAAAGGAAGAGGTCATGTTCCTGCACTTCAGTGTGCGGGATAAACACACACACACCAGCAACTCTATGCTGAGTGACAAATCCATCTTCTCAGGATGGAGGTCACCGTCTTTTCACCAAGCACAATTATACCCATGTGATGGCTTTTCTCTCCTTTCCCTCCCAGCTTCCCTTTCTCCATATTGTAAACCTCTCACTTCTTCCCAACTCATGGTCCATCCTGTGCCTCGGTATGCTGCTGAAGGGGAAAGCGTACTTCTCCAAGTTCATAATCTCCCAGAAGATCTGCAAGCCCTTTTCTGGTACAAATCAGAGCATAGGACCCCGGACCATAAAATTGTAGAATATGCCAGAATCGTGAATTCTGTCTTCTGGGGACCTGCATACAGAAAAGGGATGGTGTACACGAATGGATCCTTGATGCTCCAAAATGTCACCAAGAAAGATGCATCAATCTACACACTGGCAATGTTAAACCAAAACTTCAATTTTGAAAAAGCAGATGTGGAATTTCACGTACAGAGTAAGTGACTACCTGTGGCTTCCAACTGTTGGGAGCAGCTTATCCTACTTATACACTAAACCAACAGGATTGGGATGTGCCTGATCTCCCTCCCACTGCATTGCATCCATCCACTTGGTTTTGGGTCCCTACTGCAGGACACACATTGGGTAGACAAACTGTAATAGATCAAACCCAACTAACTTTTACTTGTAGAGAGGAGCACCTGTGGTAGGTAATCTCAGCCCCAGGATGTCAGCAGCAGCCCAGACACTTGGAGCTCTCCCTATGCACATGTCTCCAGAAACACTTTGTAGGAGTCAGCCAGTCCCTAGCTGATGAAGCCATGGGGTTGTCTCAGAGAGCAGCAGGAAGCCCTGACTCCAAAACTGAAACCCTGGCTAGACACAAGGTGATACTGTGGAGCTTTTGGTAATTATTTAGATTTCATGTTAGAGCTGACCTGGAACAAAGCCTTACTGACTGTCAAGTCATGGGACTGATTATTACATAGAGTATAGAATGAGCTGTGTGGGTCACCTGGATATCTCCTTCTCCTGCGACTCAGTGGACAAGTGTCCAGGCCATTAGCCTATTATTCATATGGTCTTATGAGACTTACTAGGAAGGTTAAGTCAATAAGGGAAGAAACAGAGCTACTCCAGAGTCCTCCTTCAACTCAGAGGCCCGACCTACAGGATTTTCTTCTGCAGGTAAATAGTAACAGATGCTGCTGATGTGAGCAACTCCCCATCCCAAGTTCAGACAATTGCTTAATTCATAAACACAGCAATGATCATGCACTGTGTGTCCTATTACAGGGAAACCGAGACTGAGGAAACCGTGCCTAATTAGGGTAACACAGTCCCTGGGTGGCAGATCCAAAGCACAATATATTTCTAAAGTCTTGGCCCCAGCTTCCCCCCACTGGAAGATTTTTAAAAAGTATAAATGAAAGAGGGAATGGCTGGATTCTCTGGACTATTTTCATTTGGTACCCTCCTCTGTTTCTTCACAGAGTATGTGACACAGCCCTTTGTTCAAGTCACTGATAATACAGTCACAGGAGGTACATCTGTGATCTTCACCTGCATTTCACCTGACACTGATACCTCCATCCGTTGGATCTTCAATAAGAAAAACCTGCACCTCAGAAAGAGGATGACACTGTCCCCAACAAAGTGTGGACTCAAAATAGATCCTGTCAGGAATGCAGACGCCGGAGAGTATCAGTGTGAGGTCTCCAATCGTCTCAGTTCCAAGACCAGTCTCCCAGTTTCCTGGCCGTGATGAGGGAGCAGCCCTCCTCTCATGATACAGTAGTCAGGGCATCTTTTAATCAATGGGGTACAAAATAGAGAAAAGTTATGCTGCCAGCACAACTCATGCCTATACTCCTGGGATATAAGTGTGAACGAGGGAAGGCCGGGACTTAAATTAAGGTTGTCTTAAAAGAAAAATAAGATGTCCGTATGATAAACAAAATATCAAAGGCCTTATGAGCTTAGGTAATATTTAAAATATATGCTGAGCTCCCAGATGCATGGGAACTAATTTCAGGTTCCATCCAACTTTTGGATGCTGAGTCTGCTGTGAAAATGGTGCATTGTTTGCACTGAGAAAAACATCCTCTCAGGTTATCAAACACATCCCTTGTTTAGCTAGTTTACCTAAATCCAGTGCTGCCTAAGTGTGAAGTGAGAAAAAGTGTCAGGAGCAGGGTCTGCTCATGCTTCACTATGAACAAAGTTGGTTTCTGAATAGCTTTGATCCAAAGTTTGTTTGATGCATAGCTTTAACATTCTTCACCTAAGGGCAGATCAAACCATTTCCACCCTGAAAGTGGCACTCACATTGGGAACTTGCTCATGAGTGTTTTCCCTGTTAATCTGTATTTCTCTCCCTTTTTATTGTACTCTCCTACTACCCTTTCCTAAAAGCCACTTCCCCTCTGCCTCAGACCCACTCCTCTTCGGTTTCCCCTCTAAAAATGAGCGGGTATCTTAGGGATATATACAGGACGTGGCCTAGCACGATATATGGGCAGGCAAAAGAGCCAGAGATGTCCCCCATTCCCACCGTCATCAGGTCCACAAGAACATCCATCCACATTAACGTAAATTACATTCTGAGGCCCAAGCTCAAACCCATACAGAGTCTGTGAACCCATAAGTCTCTGTGGAACTGTATATGCCCTGCTTGTTTCTGTCTTCCATATTTCCATGCTTTCCTTGACCCCTCTGTTTCCTCCAACCCATCCTTTCCCTATTCTGTGGGGTTCCCCTGGTGTTGCCAAGTGTTTGACTGTATGTCTATGCATGTGTTCCCATATGTCGATGATGCATTTCTGATGACTATTAAGCTGGGCACTGATCTACTAGTAAAACAGAATATCATCAGTAATTATTTAATTAAAATGTTTTCCCAGTCATTTTTGTCTCCATCCTGAATTTCTGTGCTATCCTGTCTTTGGTCTTTGGCAAAACAGGCAGTGTCATGACTGGATTACCTCTCATGACAAGGTCTTTAATGTGTTCCAGTCATTGGTTGGCCAATCCTCCAAGTTCTATTCCAGTATTACCATAGATTGTAGGTGGAATGTTTTGTAACAGGATTGGTGTCTCAGTCCCACTGCTAGAAGTCTTCTGGGGTTGTAGACGATGCTGGTTCAGGCTACATATCCCTTACTACTAGGAGTCATTGCTAGGGTTACTCTTGTACATTCTGGGGAGTTTCCACTGTAGTAGGTTTTCATTGCTACAAATGCCCCAGGCACCATTCCAGACATTACTCCAAGCCTTCTCCTCTTCCATCCCACCACTCACCTGTTTACTCCTGTTCCCATTCCCACTTCCTTTCCTATATATCCACAAATTCTCTTCTATTTCTTCTCCCCAGGGAGATACATGTATCCGATTGAGTTTCTTGTCACTTAACTTCTCTATGCATGTGACAAAGCAGGACAGTTTTGCTCAATATCAGTTCACAGAAGTAGAGCTCAGATGGGTGTGTTTGTTCAACAGTTCCAGAAACTTTAGTAAAATCTTTAGGATTTTCCAGAAACATGTTATTTGAAAATTGATTATACAGCCAAATAATTGGCCAACTTTTACTTATTTATTTTTGACTAATTGTTCTGTCTAGGACACCTAAGAAAATACTGAAGAAAAATGGCCACCACAGCACCCTTGTATTGACCCTGGTCTTAGAGGAAAAGCCACCAGTGTTTCCACTGAGTATTGAGTTGGCAATGGCTTTTCAAGTGTGCTCATAATGCACTGGTTTCTCGTGTACCCCTAGTTTGTCTGTATTCATCATTAAAATTGTTCACTTTTGTCAAATGTCTTCACTGATTCAGGCTTACGAGTTATTCATGGAATCCTCTGTGTTTCTTCATGTTTCCATCTCTGAGTTTCTGGAAATTTAGGTATTTGTCCATTTCATGTAACCCACTCTACTATTGAGTAGTCATGGAAATTTTACTAATCAGAAAAATGGATGGAAAGTTCTCAAAATTCAATTCCAGTGTTAATAAATTATTCTTTTTTTTTAAAAAAAGTTATTCTAATTAAATGTTGTCAATTCCACTAATTACACTGGAATATGAAATTATTCATTTTTGGGCTATAGATTATTTTTCATACAATATATATTGTTTATAGTTTTCTGTCTCTCAACACTTCCCAGTTCCTCACCACATTCACTACCATGGGGATCCACTTCCTTTCTTTCTCCCACTAGGGAATAATAGACCTCCAAAAGACAACAACAAAATATGACAAAATAAAATATTATAAGGTGAAACAAAAACTATCATATTTTTGGTGGACCTTCCAACCCAACAGGAGCAAAAATGTCTCAAAATCAGATACAAGAATCTGAGACCCACTTGTTCTCAGAATCAGATGTCTCATAAAAATACTAACCTATAGTTGTAATATACACACAGAAGATCTGCTGCTGACTGATATAGTCCCTGTGCATGCTGATCTGAGGCAGAAACCTGTTATCTGAGGACTAGACCTAATAATACTTGAAGATTCTATACAACCTGGCAGCAGAGGGAAACAATCAATTGTCCTACCCAACTGTTATTCCTATAAATGACAGCAATGACCATGATGGCAAGAGAAC